GGTGGAACCCATATGGGACACTGCTTAGGTGACCAAGAACCTGAGACTACATAGCCCAGGGACCCAAGGTAAAACCAAATAATAATACTGATCTAAAAATAATTACTTAATGTAGTGATAAAATGACTCCTAATGACATTCTGCCATACTCATAGACCAGTGCCTTATTCAGCCATCATCAGAGAAGCTTCCTCTGGCAGCAGACTTGAACGGATGCAGAGATCCAGTCAGACATTACACAGAGAGTGAGAAACCTTGGAACACTCAGCCCTAAAGGGATGCCTCCATCAAATCCCTCCCCTCGGAGCTCAGGGAGCACTTTGGGAGAGGGGGGTGGAAAGACTGTAAGAGCCAGAGGGGATTGAGGACACCAAGGAGACAAGGTGTCTAAATCAGCTGAACAGAGCTCATATGACCCTGCAGAGTCTGAAGCAGCAAGCTCAGGGCCTGCATAAGTCCGCACCAGGTCCTCTGTGTGCATGTTATGGCTTCTGGTTTAGAGGTTTTATGGGACTTCTGAGTGTGTGAATGAGTGGGTCTCTGATTCTTGTGCCTTCTCTTGGGCTCATTTCCTGCTGTGGTTTGTCTTGTCCAACTTCAATGTGATTTTTTTGTCTTATTATATTGTATTTAAAAATGGAAGGAAGGCAGGGAGAGAGGGAGGGATGGAGGAACGGAGGAAACTTAGTCACTAGGGTAAAGGTTAATAACTGTAATTTACACCAGCTAGGAGAGAGAAATCAGTTTTCTCCGATGGATATCAAGCAGTCCAGGACAGGCCTCATATTCAGAAATAGTTAGTTAACATATAATGGATCCACAGTTTTTTTGTGTGTGTTTTTATTTGGTTACAGTTTGGTGTGGTTTTTCTTTTCCTTTTTAGGTGTGGTTTTATTTTGTTTTCTTGGCTTGGAGGGTTTGTGTTGTATTGGGTTTTTTTTGTTTGTGTTTTGAAAAAGAACTCAAAGTTGGGTGGGCAGGACTTGTAGGTGTAGAAGAATATGATCAAAATATATTTAAATTTAAATAATAAAAAGTATAACACAAAATAAGAGAATGAAATGCATAAAAATGAAAATGAAATGAAATCTCCAAAGAATAAGTACATATTTTTAAACATATTTTTTAATTGTTCTGATTCATCTAAGGCACAGTTTTTCAAGTATTTAAAAATCCTGGCAAACTCAGCAGAAAATGTAAGTTGGTATTTTGATAAAAATTCAAATGTTACTTTTAACCAGTTCTTATAAAAGTTACCAAGAATACTTATTTTATGAGAATTTTATTATTACAAACAGATTCTGATTTATACAAATGAGCCAAACTTTAGCAGACTTTAATCATTGTACACGTGCCATCTTAAGATCCATCTTGTAACGATACACTTGTACCTTCCGGGATGTTCTTAAGCTTCCCAGTTTTGCCTAGACCTTTTCTTTTCCCATTTTGAAAAATCTTAACATTTTTATCCTAGGGAAAGCAATCTGACTTTACTGCACAAAAACCCTTTCTAATCTCTACGTGCCCTCTGCCTTTTACCCTTTCTTAACTGTAGTCTCATATCCCATTCATAGCTTTCTCAGCCTTCAGTTGTTTTTGTCCTTATTATAACAAATTACATCCAAGATCTGGCCATGCAACAGAGCAACATGACAAATGCACCAAGTTATTAAAAGATAATTGATTCTGAATTATGCTTATGACACAGTGCAGCAAACTGAGACCACCTGGCTATACCTTGTTAACATCTTGGCTCTCACAGGACTTAAATATGTTATTGGCCAATGACTCCTTTTCTATTTCTTCTCCTGAGATGGCATCTTGATTTGTATCCCCAGCTGGTCTCGAATTCATAGCGATCCTTTCTTCTCAAGAGCTGGGACTGCAGGTGTGAGCCGCTATGCCAGACACTGCTTGGATATTTTAAAAGACTCTTTTGCACACCCTCCTTCTCTTTCCCTCACACAATCTAGCAGTTACAGGAATGCTACAGTTCAGAAAAAGCTAGTTTAGCAAGCCTTTCAACAATGTTGCAGAGAAAATGTGCAAGCGAATGCAGAAAGAAGTAGAAACCCCAGAGTCTTTAGATGGTCACCCTGTAGTTGCTGTTGAGTATGCAAAACAAACTTGGTACCCTGAAGAACTGAGCGAGAAAGCAAATGGCTACTTTGTGTGCGTACTTGCTACTGGATCCAGTGACTGCTCTCTGGAACCAGCACACTTGTTCTCTTCTGAGCATCTAGCATCTCTTCTGAACTTGCCTAGGACAACCCGTAACACGTGAGGCACTACCCATGGATTGCTTCCTGTGGCCTCAATCCTGCCATTATTGCTTCTTATGCTGACGCTTACCATTCCCTACACTTTGTAACTTTTGGTGACTGAACCATAGCTGCTGTGTAGTCTCCAGGTTAGGGCATAGGGCAGCCTTTTTTTTTTCTTCTGTCACATTAGGCCTCTGGCTAAGCTTGACACCAGGAGAAGTCTCACTGTTCAGACTCCTAGTTTGGTTCAGGAACTGTTTCTTCCTTGTCTGCTTACATCCTGCACACTTACAGTGTCTGAAGTTTTACAAGGGGCTTTGTAAAGGGGAAGTGACTAAGTGTCAGGAAGATCTCAGGGCTCTGACGCCAGAGAAAGAATAGCAGTGAGGCTGCATGGGGATTTGGAGTAAGCAAGGCATTATGGGTAGCAGCAGAGAGGGGAAGAGCGCAAGTTGCAATTGGACAGTTGCAAAGTGGTACCCAGAGGGAGAAATTGCCCATTTTAATGAGTTTGGGATCAGAAGAGATCATGATTGATGAGATTAGCTCCCCTGTGTGTCACCCCAGAGTTGGTTCATGTAAACGGGCTCTCAGGTGACCTGTCTGCATTTATTAGAGGATATGGTGTACTTAGGACATTGGGGGACAGCTCCCTTGTGACGCTGTCCTACTGGGAAAAATCCCATGCTTCCATCTAGCCTGGGAATGGTGCATAGGAGCCCACTTGTTTACCTATTTTTGACATTTAAAATACTCCTAGTACTAGCTGTGTCTTTGTATAGAAATCAGAGGAGGAGAGGTGTTGAAGTAGTGTAAGCCTGAAGATCACTGCAGAGCAGATGAGGTTAAGCAGCAGGTGGTTGTGCTACTACACAGCCCAACCTACTGCTCCATTGCTTTAGGGACAACTTCCCCATCAAGACTGCTGCTGGATGAAGGTTGTCTTTGAAGTCACACAAGAGAAGAATCTCAGGACATGCTCTCCCTTGGCGCGTTTAAGTGGGTTCTGCTGGGGTTGGCCTTGGAGGGGACCTCAGAGTCTGCACTTCTGACAAGCACTAAGTGATGTTGTTGCTGCTCTCTGAACTACACTTTGAGTAACAGGTTAGACTGCCAGGGAGTTGGCAAAAATTCATCCATTTGTTTCAGATCACATTGTTTTAGCTGCATTTTAATGCTCTGGGCACAGAGTTCTACCTGAAAACTTGACTTCTAGAAAGTAGGCAGAAGGGATTAGATAAATATCAGTTAAGTATTTGTTCAAGCCAGGTGTTGGTGGCAAATGCCTTTAATCCCAGCACTTGGGAGGCAGAGGCAGGTGGATCTCTGTGAGTTCGAGGCCAGCCTGGTCTATAGAACGAGTTCCAGGACAGCCTCCAAAACGATATAGAGAAACCCTGTCTTGAAAAACCAAAAAAAAAGTATTTGTTCAAGTTGTTGTTTGAAAACTAAGACTTTGTGAATGACATAAACTTGAAAAAAAAACCTGGGGGACAATGGAGAGGTCCTTTGACCAGGATAAGGACTAAACCAACCCACAGTCCCCTCAAGTACATAAGAAGCCTCCTGAGAGTATGTGAATACTATAATGATTCTGTCTGGTTATTCCTTTTTCCTTTAAGTGGTTTAGGACATAACTTCTCTCTGTGTGTGTGTGTGTGTGTTGTGTGAGTGAACATGTATGTGTGCATATGGAGGTCCAAGGTTGATATACGGTCTCCCTCTGAATGCTAAATGCATTTCTTCAGTGAGGCTGACTATCCAGTGAGCTTCAGGGGCCTGCTTCCCTCTGTCTTCCCCCTGTTCTTCTGAGGCCGCAGTTACAGGCAAGCAACCCCATGCTTGATATGTGTTCCATGGGTTCTAGGGATTGGAACTCAGGTCCTCGTGCTTACATGACAGGTACTTCATTGACAAAGTCATTTCTCCAGCCCAGGATCCATACTTTTTAACTGGAGAGTGCAACCCGACAGCTAAAGGTGGAGATTGTGAGGGGAAAAAACAAGCTTGACAATGGAAAAATGTTTCTGAATGTGTGATAGCCAAAATCAATTCAGGACTAATTATAAAATGACTCTGGAGTGTCTCTGGCAGCAGTCACCCGTGTTGTGTCTCATATCACGTGACTTCACTGTAGTCTTGATTCTGAAAGTAAATCACGCAGTTGGTACAGTGAGTGTTACCACGACACCTAACATTAATGAGTGGTGTCTGTGATGCCTTGGCCCAGATTCAAGAGCTCTGTACACTATGAAATACAGTTTTATAGTATATATGAAGTTATTGTCATAGAAACATGAGGATTTAAGTGCAGAAAACAAAGACTTTCAGTATTTCTCGTACACCGTTTCATCAGGTAAGTATCACATTAACATGCCTTTGCATTGTATTGTGTTAGATGTTTGAGTTCCCAAAATGAATCTTGCACAACAAATTATTAAGGAAATTATTAAACAAATTTGGGCTTGGAATTAGGACAGCACTTTCAAAAAATATTTAAAATATCCACTAAGCATGCTTTTTCCATTTTGTGCTATGTGTCTGTGCAAAGTATAGTTCTCAGCATTGACCATAGTAGAATAAAAGTATCCATCAACTCTAGAATATATTGAAGATGTCCTTTTAGTATGAAATAGCCAAAATTTACTTCTTCATGTAAAAGCAAGCAGTCACACCCACCTCATTAGTATGCAAATCACCTCTAATAAATGATAAAATTATACTCAAGCCAAATAATTGCTTTGATTTCTGTGCTTTATTATCAGTGTATGCTTCCTGTAACCTTTATATGTTAATGATCATATACAACTTTTCAGGCTGTGACAGGAATTTTTAAGAAGTTTGCTTTAGAGCACACTACTGTTCTTTGTCTTTTAGACAGACTCAGGGAAGAACCGTGGCCGAGAGTTTGGGGGATCATCAAGCATGGTTTCAAGTCCTCAGGAGAATAGCCTTTCACTTTATCCATTCTGTCTCAGGTCCTTTGGGGCTCGATGCTATGCAGGTTTCCTACATCACAGGACTTCCCAGGAAGCTGACTGAGGTAAAGGGTTGGGGTTGGATGCCCCTTTTCCCCGTTCCCGTCGGCTGCTGTTGCAGAGGAGTTGAGAAGGATGCTGAAGTTGGTTTGTGATTCATCACTTCTGCCTACAGAGGGGGTAGGCATGAGCCATGAGCCAGATGGGATGGCTTCTCTCTGGGCTTAGGTAGCAGAAGAGTCCGTGGAAGAGCAGCCGGGCATCGTTAGTTAGACTGGTTGTTCCTGAGCTCCCCAACCAGGAGCATCACCCCCCTTTGTCAATTATGGTCTCCCTATTTTTTTTTTAGCACATTGTACCTGCATTTGAGGAGACGGACGTTTTCAGCTTCTAGAATTATCTCTAATTACCCAGTCAGATATGATTTTTGTCTGATGTCTTCTCATTCTCATTATCTATCCCATGTAGTGTGCAATTTCTCAAAAGTCAATAGATTCCTGGATAAATTAATAAGAACAAGTTAGTTGGTCTGCCTGACTTGCTTTGGAACAATAAGCCTGCCTGCTTCTTAAAGGGCAGAGGGCTGCCACCTGTCACCCTGAGTGGATCACTACCATACAGAGCACCTTGTCTCGCTCCCACTGTAAGCTGTGATGTGGTCCAAACTCCTTCTGCGGAAGCGGCACTGAAGGTGGCAGAGGTTCACGGGACAATCTCCAACCACTCGATAAAATCCCTTTCGGGCACTGGAGGGAAGGCATCTAGGGACACTACGCCTGCTCTTATTTTTTTCCCCTGGGTCATTGTCTTTAGACTTAAAAAGTAACAACCTACAAGAAGGTAACCCACGCAAATTAGCTCAGAATTGAACTCTCTTTTGGTGGCCGACAATGTGGTTTCTTGGATGGAAATTATGTTTGCTCGTCTGGGTGTGTGATCCTGAATTGCACCCTTTCTCCCGTGAACTGATTTCTCAGACAAACCGTTTTCCTGGCTGAGCCTTCGTGTTTGTCACCTGTAAGCTGCAGACGAGAGCAACCACGTCCGGTTTGGTGTGGATAGCCAGCATTCAGAGTCTATGATGACACTTCCCGCACTCCTGATAATACAAATACCCAGTAAATGGGATTTCTCACTTTTGTTTGATGGAAGGTCTCACTGTGTTTTATTTTGATCTGATATTCTTTTTATCTCAACAATGAGAAGAACTCCTGAATGTGATACTGTCACCACAGTGGAACTTCTGGTAAAACAAAATGTGAGTAGAACCGCAAAAGGGGTAACACCAGAAGGGCCAGCTGGATGGAATCACAATGCAGTCCAGGAGCCTCCATGCTGGGCAAATTTTCAGTGGATTACCAGGTTCCTGGTGTCCATGTCTCACTCGGTCAGAGGTGAATGATGTACAATAGGGGAAGGGTCTGTCTTTCAGATCTTTAGAAATAAGTTATCCAAACAGGAGTCTGAGACAAATCAGGGTCTAGATGATACTGCTTTTATTTTTAACCCACCAATCTGTTAAATCATTTATGTCTCGTTTACTTGGTCCTTTTTGGGCTAGATGCTGTCAACCCTTGCTTCTAAGGACCTTGAGAGTGGAGTGGAGTAACAATGATCCCACACAGCTGTCCCATCCTAAGGAGTCTAAGTCTCATGCCTAATAAGCCCTTAGCTAAGATTCGAGAGGATTGTGACTGTAACTATCCAGTCTTCAACCCCATCAGAGACCTGAGAAGTAAAGTAATATTACCCGAGTGAGCAGGAAGTGCAAGCAAGCCTGGACAGTCACCCAGTGTTTGTTTCTGGGCAACGCTGGGGCATCCGACTTCGGCTACAGGCCTAGAACATCAGACAGACCATTTTCAGAAGCAGGAAGAGTTGAAAGCCTGTGCCAGAGTGGCCAGATGGAGGGAGGCAAGAAAGGAGTGGGCTGGCAGAGACCAGCCCATGTCCTCAATCATGGAAGGAAGCTCTGAGGGTGTTTTCCCAGCAGTACCTGGTGGCGCTAGGACAGCTGCCTGGACTCCATGGGTGGGGGGGAAGGGGGAGGGGTTATTCAGTTAGCCTGTGTGTCCAGGTGGGGGCTCAGGAGGCCTTCGGGGTCATGGGGACAGTCCACCCATGTGTGTGGGGGGAACACAGATAAGTTGAAAATCCACAGAAGTCTTTTAAGGGATGAAATGAAAATCACACATGGATACAGGATGAAATGGTACAGCTGCCTCTCTGTCTACTAGGAAAGGATAGGGAAAATTCTGGACCAGGTCACTGAGCCATGGTGTCAGGAAGCCTTCTTCCATGTCCAAGAGAGCACACGACCCCTCTCCTCAGGTCTTATCTGGTCATGTACTCTGAGGAGACTATGTTCAAAGGGCTAGTAACCCCAGTACCACTGCTTAAAGGGACCAGATTCCCACAACATTGTCCAAACTCAGGTCTAGAATACTCATAGCTAAGATTTTATGAAATGATCCCCAAATCTCCATAGTACAAACACACATCTAATTCTCTCCAAGGGCCTCACTTCACAAGTAACAAGCATCTCTATTTTGCACCTAAGGAACACATCACCTTGGTAGTGATGGAGGGAGTGCGAGAGATACAATTTAGGGCAGCAATGACAGCAGCAAGAAAGCCAGCAACTGACTAGGCAGTCAAATCTTAAAGCATAGTGCCAGAAAGAGTGATGTCTTTCTCCAAGGGTTATGCTGTGCACTCAGTGCAAGCAGGCCAGTGGCTACCACCTCTACACACGGATTCTCACCCTTCATCAGACTGTGTTCGGCTAAAGTCTCCTTGTTTGCACCTCAAATCCTCAGCCCTTCTGTGGATCTCAAAGGTTTAATGGTCGTTGTAATTTACACAACCAGGAGAGGATTCTTCCTGCTTCTGTACCATTCATTAATAACATACTCATTAACACACTCACTTATTGCAGCACCCGTGCCACAAGCAACTCCGAGGTATCAGGGAAAGAAAGACCAGATGTCCAGCTGTTTGTACTAAGCAGTGTCTTCATTTTGCCAGTGCTAAGAGGTCTCTCTCTTGTAGGAGGGAGCAGTCTTATATATAGTCTTACAACACAGTAGAAAAACCCCTGGTGGAAGAGAGCATGTTTTCCTCGTGCTAGATGTTAATGTCAGTGGGGCAATGCGGGGGCAGTAAGCCAGGACTAAAAAACAGGATGCACCTGTGGCTATCAGCTGGCAAACAACTCAGAGACCCTGTGGGGACTAGGCCCCAAAACCTCCCATCTTTTTATTTTTTAAAAATTTGTTTGAACTGTTTGCTACTCTATAGACTCTTCCATGCAGATTTCTTTGGCTCTCAGGCCATGTTATAGGCTTTTGGTATTTTTCTCAGGGGCTACAGCCATACCCATTCCTTGTAAAAAGTTTTTAGAGATGACTCACAAAATTGACCTTATAACCTTATAACCGACCCTGTATAAATGTAAACAAACATTTATAAACAATATTTGGGAATGTGGGCGTCATTCTTTCCAAACTACTCCCTGATGTTAAGGGGCATTGATCATATCATGGGGATCATGACAAAACTCAGAAACCTGTATAAGTCCTTATTTTGGGGGTCTGTAAGGATGCATCATCTTAACTGTTTTATATGTTGAATCACTTGGGCCACTGCTTCCTCGGGTCTTGCTTCATCAAACCATATTAGTCTGGATAATACCAGTACCTCGTTTACTAACTATTACCAATTTTCAATTCACCTATTTTCAATCCATCCTCCAACCGAGGATGATCCCTCAGGAAAAAGCCTTAAGATTTACTCAATCCACTCTCCAGTTGAGAGTGATCTCTCAGGTTCCCCTTTCTTTCCCGACCTTGTGGGCAAAGGCCTGGAGATTTAACCTGTTACCCCTAACTTGGTACCCCTTTCCAATACACCCTCATAACCTTACTTGCTGGCCAGCCTTTGAGGGTGATCTCTCAGTTCCCCTTTACTTTCCTGACCTCAATGGATCAGGCGAAAAGCTGGAGATTAATTCAATACACCTTCTCCTTAGAAGTGATCTCTCAAGCAAAAGCCTGGGGATTTGACCATTCAATTTTACTGTTAGAAGTTGAGGTACTTGTTTTTAATTCTTTTCTGTCTTGAGTCTCTCCTCTCCTGAGTCTTCTTTCTGGCCAATCTTTCCCAGTCTTTCCAAGTCTCTCTGGATCTCAGTGGGACCTCCAATTGCAGGGCCTGTGCCACAAGCAACTCTGAGGTATTAGGAAAACAAAGACCAGATGTCCAGCTGTTTGTACTAAGAATTGCCTTTATTTTGCAAGTACTAAGAGGTCTCTCTCTTATAGGAGGGAGCAGTCTTATATATAGTCTTACAACACAGTAGAAAAACCCCAGATGGAAGAGAGCATATTTTCCTCCTGCTAGATGTTGATGTCAGTAGGGCAATGTGGGGGCAGTAAGCCAGGACTAGAAAACAGGATGCACCTGTGGCTATCAGCTGACAAACAACTCAGAGACCCTGTGGGGACTAGGCCCCAACAATTTATGAGAGGGTTACTGAATGCTCCCTCATCCCAGGAAGATGATTCTCTTAGTGAGGGTTTCTATTGCTGTGAAGAGACACCATGACCATGGCAACTCATAAAGGAAAAACATTTAATTGGAACAGATAGCTTACATTTTCCGAGGTTCAGTCCATGATCATCATGGCAGGGAGCATGGGGGCTTGGAGGCAGAAATGGTGCTGACTACATCTTTATCAGAAGACAACATGAAGTGGACCGTGACACTGAGTGACGATTAAGCAAAAGAAAAGATCTGAAAGCCTGCCTCACAATGACACACATCTTTCAAAGAGGTCACACCTATTTCATCAAGGCCACACCTCCTTATGTGCTTATAGGGGCCAATTACTTTCAAACTACTACAATGAGCGGTGCATATTTTAGTGAGGATATGGCTGAGAAACCCAACATCCCCAGAGAAACATAAAAAGAATGTGCAAGAGGCATAAATTCAAGTATGAGGAGATAGGAAACACAGATGGTCTTTCATGACTGCAGGTTTGACAACATGGATTCAACCAACATTTCTTTGGAAATATGTGGGCGTATGGGGGGAAACAGGGATTATCCAAAGGGAGGGGCATGAAAGGCCATATGGAAGCCTAGTATCTCACAACCCAACCTAAAATAAGATGAAGAATAGTAGAACATTTGTGAAAAGGAAGAAGAGGGGATAAAGGATTAAGCAGGATCGGTGCAGGGAATGGCTGAGAGGAAGTGGTGATGAGTGGGTTAACCAAAGTGAAAAATGGATGAAAAATGCCTTAGGGAAACACACTAGTTTGTAAGCCAATTACAAAATACAGCTTTAAGAAGGAGCCCCAGTTGAATCACCCAGTGTGGATGGACAGTGTTACTCCCAGAAGGCATGGGTTATTAAGTGGGAGTCACAGTGCAAGGCATGGGGTGCCTCCCTAGAAGACGTTAGTCAAGGAGGCCTCAGAAGTTTCTGAAACAACGTAGTCCATTGCCCGTGCCGTTAGTTATCCTCTGTCAGTTCATGATAAGACCCCGTTGTGGAAGACACCACACACTTCAGCTGCAGGATATATGGAAATCAATCTCAAACCAGCTGGGAGACTTCCTTTGTGCTGGATGTCGTTCATAGCTCTGAAAGACGCTGCACAGCCTGCTCTTCCAGAAAAGACATCAGTGGTCTTGCTTAGTGGTAAAGCCAGCATGCTGCAATATTGATCTGCCAGGCAAGATGTGTCCCCGTGCAACAATGGCAGCACTGTTATGGAATAGCCAAGCACTTTCCTATCGGATTTGGGTCTTGCTCCACAGAAAGCTCATAGCTAGGAAGGTTGTGAGCCCTACCACAGAGCCTGATATTGTTACTTTGATAAGCGGTCTTGCTTTAAAACAGCTTCTAAACACTTAACATTTATCACCACACATTAAGACCCTGTTGTGGGAGACACCACACACTTCAGCTGCACTCAGACTTCCTGACAGAGGCTTCTTCCGGCTGTGGCCATTAGTCAGTTGAGAGACGGGTAATTGGTCAGAGGGCTGAGAATGAAGACTGAGGACTCGGCTCTAAATGGTACCTTTACATCATTAACCCCATCACCACCAAGGCTGAGCAACATTGTGGACGGGGAGGCAGAAATAAGGTAAGAGCTGGAGGATGGAGAGAAGAGTGTGAAGTGTTGCCTTTTGTTTGTAACATGGCTATCATCATCATGAACACACAGTAGCTGCGGTGATCTGCAGAAGACCCTCAGAAGGTCAAGTCGGTCAAATTCAACACAGATGAGTTGAGTGTCCAGATCCCATCACATACTGAGGAGAAATTGACAATGAAAATTGTTGGTGCAGAACGAAGCTTTATTTATGGAGGATGCATGCACTTTTTGGTGTCTCACATCCAGTGAATGGGCCCATAGTCATGTATAATATGGACACACTAACAGAACTTTAGCAGTTATAAAAACAAGCCATGGTGGGGGTCTGTGGAAGAAACTGAAAGGAGAAAATGAAGGGTAGATATGATCTTACTTCATTGTATACATGTATGACATTCTCAAAAAACAAATATAAAAAGGAAACCAGAAGAGTAAAAGCCAAATTTTTGAAAAACAAATATAGCAATATAAGTATACCTTTACACAGTATAATAACTTTTTATGTATCATTTGCATTGTATTAGGTACTAACACAGAGATAATTTGAAGTACACAGGGGAATATGTTTAGGGTACATGAAACTACAATGACTTTTTAATGCAATTGCAAGGATTTTCATGTTCATTGGGTATCGTAGTTTAGATATGCATTATCCTCCTAAGGCTTGTGTGTTGGTGTCTTGAACCCTGTATTTGTCAGGGTTCTCTAGAGAAACAGAAGTACAGAATAAATCTTTCTCTCTCTAGGAAGGGTATTTATTAGAATGACTTACAGGCTGTGATCCAGCAAATTCAACAATGGCTGGCTATGAACCCAAAGTTCAAGAACCCAGAAAGTTGCTCAGTCTGCGAGGATGGATGTCTCAGCGGGTCTTCAGTAGGTGCAGGGATCCTGGCTCTAATGCCAGTGAAGAAACCGACTTTCTAGGAAGGCAAGGACAAGCCGACAAAGGGAGGACTTCCGTCTTGTCTTCCATGTCTGTATCTAGGTTCCAGCCGAAGGTGTGGCCAAGATTGAAGACTTTCTTCCTGCCTCGAGGTCAGGATCCAAACCTTGTGTCTTCCTTCTTCAAAGGTACAGAGTAGAAATGGATATACCCACTTCAAACCAAGCCAAAAAAATCCCTCACAGGTGTGCCCTCCACTTTCTGGATTCCATTTAGTTCCAGATGTAGTCAAACTGACAACCAATAATCCATCACAACCCTCAACAGAGCGAGCTTAGAAGCCAGGCTTTCCAGGGCTGATTGAGTCCTGAAGCCTCGACCCAATGAATGGATTGCTAATTGATGGGTTGATAATTAAAGGACTATTGGATGTTGGAAACTTTGAGAGTGGGAATTGTTTGGAGAAAGTTGATTGCTGGGAGTGTGTCTTGGAGAGGGACGTCTTTTCTCCAGCCTCTTTCTTGCTCTGTCTTTTGATCTCCTGTCACCAGTGAGGTGACTCATTTTTCTCCACTGCGTGTTTCCTGCCGTAGTGTTCTGCCTCACTGCTCAGCGTTCCAAACATAGCAGAGACAAGTTCCTCAGGCCTGGGACTCTAGAATTTGTGGGTCTAAATAAATCCTTCCTTGATTAAGTTTTTTTTTTCCCTCCGGTATTTTGCCACATTGACAAACATGACTAAAACATGGAAAATCTAGGAACCAATCCACCAGGGAAGCCAAGGAACAACTGAGTTGTGGGAGCTAATTACGACTACATGGTGTGCTGAGGCATAGCACGGGGACATGCCTTCTGTCATTCCGGAGAGGCTTGTGAGAGAGGCGTGTGATTAATTACACCCAGCAACCATACATATGTTTCCTCTCTTGCTAATTGCAGCTAGTTGAAGGACCACTGAGCATACTGCTCTTGGTGGATGTCAGGGCATTTCACTGGATTCCCCTCGGTTCTCTGTGAAGCCACAATTAACTCCACTAATTATTCCCTTCACCACATGTGCTTCACTTAATGAAGAACCAAACTGATAAATGTTGATCTTTTAAAAACTTTTTCTCCAAAAGCCATCTTGGCTGCCATCCATGTAGCACCAACAATGGCTCCTTGAATAGAATCATGAGTATCAAATGCATCCAAAATTGTTGGGGGCATGGGATTACACTGGCAATAAGCCATGTGCACATGTAGTTGGATATAATTTGGAAGATTTTCTAGTGGGTCAAGCAGGCATTTCTGCAGCAACTGATCTTTAGCAATGACTAGTGATGCCATAGGCATTAAAAAAAGATGTATATCAAAGACCAGGCTAAATGACAACTCATTACAAATAAACAAGAGTCCAACACAGGTGCCAATGATACTGTTGGAATTTACCAGACTATTGTGTCCCTTAGGTAACAATGATGAAAGCATACTTACTCTATCCTAATCTCTTTGACTTCTGTCAAGATGTCTGCTGCAGTTAGAATTTTATGTCCTTGCAACTAGCTCCCAAAATAACCACACAGAGAGTTATTATTAATTAATACTTGGCCAATGACTTAGGGTTGTTATTAACTAGCTCTTACGTCTTAAATTAATTCGTATTTTTTACCTATGTTCTACCATGTGTTTTTGGTACCTTTCTGAGGAAAGGTACAGCATTGCTTCTCCTGTGTCTCCAGGTGACTCCACCCTTCTTCATTCCAGAAGTCTCTCCCTGTCTGTAACTCCTGCCTAACCTCTTCTTGCCTAGCCATTGGCCATTTAGCTCTTTATTAAACCAATGAGGGCAACACATCTTCCCAGTGTACAGAAAAATTATTCTACAATATTTCCTTTTTTGTCTAATTAAAACAGAAGGGTTTAACTTTAGCATAGTAAAAACTATATACAACAAAACAGTTATCAAGTAAGAATTACAGTTACAATATCCAGTTCGTTTGTATTTGGCCAATTTAGGGGGAATATTCTATTATCTACCTTATCATTGTGACCCTGAAGTTTTATACTTTTTATCATAACTAAGGAAAACTATGTCTAACTATTTAGTTTTTAAGTCCATCAAAGATTCCAGAAGGTTGTAATATTGCCTAATGACAGGGGCATTTGACTGCCTGGACAGTCACCCAAAGTTTCTGTGCAGTATTGGGGCATCCATCTTTAGCCTGCAGCCCTAGAATATCTGACAGACATTTCTGAGAAGTAAGGAATCTTGAAGGACTGACCTAACTTGCCTTGGCAAAGTTTGGCAGTTGCTTTCTTTAGTGTTCTGTTTTTCAGTTTGGACAGCATACTGTCAGCAGTCTAATTAAGGATAGTTTTTTTTACCAAATGGATTGCTTTTGCCATAAAGAAAACAAACTCCATTTGGAGTTTCTTCAATGCTCATCATCTTCTCTGAAGTAGATTGGTGTTGTCAGGGATTGGTGTTGTCAGGAGCAGACAGGTCTCACTGTTATAAAAAGCCTCAGATTATTAAACATCTTACATGCCATATTCTGTAGGTCTAGGAGGTATTTGAAGACAATCTATTTATCTAACTATATTTGCTTAACTTTGAAAATATACCTAATATGACTACAAGTTTGATTATTATAGATGGCTGCTAACCTATGTTTCTTAATTATACATTACATTTTTAAATGAACTGCATAAGCACAATACCCCAAACAAGAGAAGAAACATACATTCAGTATAATAAAAATAACTTTAAATTTGTATCAATAAACCCAAATCTATACCAATGTAAAACATTTTGAGATTAATAGTTGCTTTTTGGATTAAAGTAAATTCAACACTCTACCCTTTCCCCCTATCATCCCTATACCTACTTTTTCTTCAGAAAGTGGTCCTTGAATCTAATCCCTTTGTTTAGCTTTTTCTCTGATTATGACCAATAACAACTTGTAACTAACCCCCCCCAAATGATGAAAATATCCACAACCCCATTGAATGACCAAACACACTACCCCATATCTTGGGAAACTGGGCATTGTATGTTCTAGACTGCTTCCTGCTGTCTATATCTTTGAGGGACCCTGAGAAAATTAGGATAATGGTCAAGTCCTGGCTGGAGTAGTCTGTGAGGCTGGACCATCTCAGCCAGGAGCCCTGAAGCTATTCTGGATGCAGAATGCTGAGGAAATTGCAACAGATGCACTCTGAGAGGCTGGGTCACCTGGGCCACCCATTTTCAATGATGCTTGGTCCCTTGCTCTGAAAACACATAAACTTTTAAAGGTAGCACACACATCTGCATTAACACAAGCAGAGACTGTGCATTGTACATAAGCCAGTGATGATTTTCTGTTTTGTGTTCAAGCAGGTAAAATATACATCATCTGTTTTGTAGATTTTCTAGGTTTATTTATTTTTTATGTCTGCATCCAGGATTTTCAGGAGTCTTCCCCAATCTAATCTGATTTCTATTAACCAGGAAGGAATCTATAACCTTTTGCTTTCAGTGGAAACAAAAGCATAGCCTCTTCTCCAATGCAACGTATATTTTTATTTCCATTGTGTAGTTAAAATAGTTTTAAAATATATTGGTTCATTTAATTTGGGAGTTTCCATAATCCCATGTCTCTAAGCAGCTACAGTTTGTTCCATCAGCAATCAAAGAATTTTAAGTTAGCCGGGTGCTGGTGGCACATGCCTTTAATCCCAGCACTCGGGAGGCAGAGGCAGGCGGATCTCTGTGAGTTCCAGGCCAGTCTAGTCTACAGAGAGAGTTCCAGGACAGCCTCCAAAACGATACAGAGAAACCCTGTCTCAAAAAAAAAATTTAAGTTGGTACAACACAACACAGGACCCAGACTCCCTGTGTATTTCTCATCTCTATACAGCTTAGTCTCCTTTACTGTTTTATTTCGTTGCTTAAAGACATTATTATTTTTTAAACTATTTTTATATGACTGTCTGTATCCCTTTTCTTTTCTTTCTTAAGCCTATGTACATTTTAAAGCACACTGTGCTCTGCTTAGGATCTGGATCTGTCTTTATTGAGCACCTGTGGTGTCCTCTGCTCACAGTAGACAAATCTTAAACTGCTATGTCAGCCACTGTCATGACTCAGCTTAGTGCATGGTGCTGGTGCATGGAACTGGTGCATGGCGCTGGTGCATGGCGCTGGTTCATGGCGCTGGTTCATGGAACTGGTGCATGGTGTTGGTGCATGGTGTTGGTGCATGGTGCTGGTGCATGGCGCTGGTGCATGGTGTTGGTGCATGGAACTGGTGCATGGCGTGGTTGCATGGCATGATTGCATGGCTCCAGCCCACAAGCAGTCTCTGTACTGCCATGGCTGAGCCTATTGGAGAGACTTTGGTCACAGGGAAGCCACATGTGGCTCTGTTTTTTTAAAGCTTTCTCAGGCCTTATGTGAATGTATGTACCAGATGTTGGGTGCCACTTGGTGGTGGAAAGTTTTGCCCTGCCAGCCAGGACTCATATAACCACACAGAGACTTATTATAAATTATAAACGATAAGCTCATAGCTTAAGCTTGCTATCAACTAGCTCTTGCATCTTATATTAACCCATAATTTTTATCTTTGTTCTGCCATGTGTTTTGGTACCTTTCCTCACCACAGCATGCTCAACTTGCTTCTCCCGTGTCTCCAGGTAACTCTGTCTTCTTCATCCCAGAGTTCTCTCCCTGTCTGCAAGTCTTGCCTAACCTCTTCCTGCCTAGCTATTGACCATTTAGCTCTTTACTAAACCAATGAGAGCAAAATACATTCACAGTATACAAAATGATTATTCCATAACTGTCTATGGATCTCCAGACTCTCACATGTGTGTGGGGAGGCTTGTGTGTGTCTGTGGGAGAGCTTGTATATGTGTCCTTGTGTGTGGGGTTTGTACGTGCATTCTTTTGTGTGTGTAAGTTTGTGTACTTCTGTATGTGAGTGTAATATTGTATGTGTGTATGTGCTTGGGGGAGGCTTGTGAATGTAATCTTGTATGTGTGTATGTGCTTGGGAGAGGCTTGTGTGTGTGTGTGATCTTGTATGTATATACTTTCATGTGTGTGCTTGTGGAGGGCTGTAGGGGGCGTGTGTGTGTTTATGTGTGCAATTGTATGTATGTGTATGTATAGGTGACATCTTACATGCTTTTTGCTTTGGGTTCTAATGTCTGTGTATCTTGCCTTTACCTTGTGTTGTTTTTATTTGATTTTTAAGTTGTTGGTTTTAATTTATACAGATACACACAAAGATGCATGCATATTTGGCTTCCTGGAGCATTCGGGAGAATAAGAACTTAGCGTAGCCTCACATTACATCACTGCAAACAAGCTCAAGTGGAAACATTAGCATTGCACTCTTTAGACAGCCTTTGGGCTCCTCAGTCTGCAGAGTCCCTCATCTTATCTAGTTTCTCTGTGTCACCTTGTGGGGAAAATAACATATATTTCTCTGTCTTTTGCATAGCAGCTTAATAATACTCTGAAATGTTTGTCATCTTCTGCCTTAAGTACGTTAATCATAAGTTTCTCCCAGGATACAAGGAGAGAGAGGAAAGCAAGAAGGAATTCTCTCTTCACCCTGAATTCCTGTGCCGTTTGCCAGCCTGACAGAGCTTTTCAGCTTAGTCCTTCCGCAGTGCACCCTCCCAGCCACCACTTCCAATCCCCAGAGCTCCAGTGACGTCCCTAATAAACCAAACCTCTCCAGTACTGCATGACCTTGTGAGCTAGACAGGGTGGACTGTTTCCTGGGCACATTTTATAGATTTGGTAGCTGAGCAGCCTGGTTATAAAGACATGAATGCCTGTGGCTCGTTCTCAGTGAACAGAGTGTCCCTTTCTGCTGTCTCTCACCCTCAGCGAGGACAAGAGGCAACAGGAAGCAGGGGCCCATTCAGTGTGTTCTCCACACTTCAATGTCTCTCCTCCAAATGCCATCTTGCTGTGAGGTAATGCTCCTGCGTAGATGAAGCAGAGTGTGAGGAAGCCATCTGCTTTGGGTATTTGCAATACTGCTCAAGATCAACACTGTGATCGTGACCCCTGTTGCTCATATAATCCCCCCTCACTATCTTCAACTGAACTCCTGGAGCTTGCCTCAGTGCTTAGCTGTGGATCTCTGCATCTGCCTCCATCAGTTTCTGGATGAAAGTCCTAGGATGACAATTAGAGTAGTCATCAATCTGGTTACAGGGGAAATCAGTTCAGACACCCTCTCCATTATTGCTGGGAGTCTTAGCTGGGGTCATCCTTGTGGGTTCCTGGGAGTTTCCCTGGCACCAGGTTTCTCCCTAACCCCATAAAGGCCCCATCTATCATGGTGGGGAAACCCATAGAGACAGCTGACCTGAGCTTGTGGGAGCTCAGGGACTCTGGACAAACAGGTAGGGAGCTGGCATGGGACTGACCCAGGCCCTCTGCATCTGGATGACAGTTATAAGGCTTGGTCTTTTGTGGGGCCCCTATCATTGAGCCCGGAACCTGTCCTTTGTGCATGAGCTGGCTATTTAGAACCTATTCCTTGTGGTGGCATGCCTTGCCTGCCTTAACGCAAGGGGTAGGAGCTTGGTCCTGCCTCAATTTGATATGCCATACTTTGTTAACTCCCATGGGAGGCCTTATTCCTTCTGAATGGAGGAGGAGTGGGGGGGGAGGGCTCAAGGGAGGTGGGGGGAGAGAATGGGAGGAGAGGATGGAGAGGAAAACGTGGTTGGCATATAAAATGAATGAAAATCCTCAATTAAAAAAACAAAACAAAAATTAAAATAAACCAAAAAAGATCAGCACTGTGAAAATTTTATGTTAGATAATTACTGTAGAGGGAAGAACCCTGCCTTATTCCTTATCATACCTCTAACAACATCCCTTCCCTCACTCACATCTGAGAAGGGTGCAAACAACATACCACAAATGGATAAAACTAGAAATTCGTGTTTCTTTTTTAATTGAAAAGAGGTCATGTGACTTCAAGTTGGAGGGACAAGAAAAAGCAAGTCAGAAAAACCGTAAGAGCAGGCACTCTTTCCCCCAAGATGAGCTGTTACGGGTTTTGCTACGCACAGCCTTTTGGCTTGTTTATTTGAATGGATGGCTCAAGGAGGTCAAGAACTCCAAGTCCGTTTTGGGAGAAGACGAGACATTTGAACAGCTTGACGTTGGGAGGTGTAAACTGTCGGAGAGAAAAGTGTGAGCTGCAGCAATTTGTAAATGTGGCAGACAGTAATCCTGGTATTTCTTGTTAATTGTTTTTCCTCAGGCAAGAGACTTTCTGTGATTTACATTGTGGAGCTCAGTGACACTGAGCCAGACAGCTCATCACCTCCAGAGGCAACGGGTGGAGACATGACAGCTGCTTGGGAAATGAGAGGGGGATCAGGACAGCGTGCTCTGCTGCCTCGGAACGCCTCGTCTTTTCCAGAGTGTCAGGGGTGCTGCCATGTGCCCTGTGCGTAGGAAGAGTCCTGTACTCAACAGCTGCAAAGTAAGTGGCGAACCCCCTTTCCATGCAGGGGCTTCAGAGTGTTGTACCCCTTCCCGATGACGAGGACCCCTGCGAACCTGTGTGGAGAGGGACAGAGGGAGAAACAAGAGACCTCAGAATGAGTAGAAAACCTTTGGCCAGGGCACACGTAATTCACATCTCTTCTCCCCGTCGAAGACTGATGTCAAGTGCCTTCCTTGGCTGCTCTCCATCCCTTTATTTAATTTTTTTTGATACAAGGTCCTGTAGTAGCATCCTGCATTGCCAGTGAACTTGTAATAGTGGCCACACCCTTTGGGCATAGTTTCAGCTGTAGACCTGGTCCTTTTAAGGTAGAGTTGTGAGCACATGCTCTCTTGGGTCTCAAAGAGCATCAGAAGGGCAGAGACTGCATCTTCTGGAGCAGGAAGGCTGTGTCTCCTCTACCTTAAAAGGGTCATGTCTGCACCTGAAACCACGCCCAAAGGGTGTGGCCACTACTGCAAGTTCACTGACAAAGCTGAAGTAGATTTAGCACCAAACTCTAGGAATCTTCCCACCTCAGGATCCTCAGTTTCTGGATTATAGATGGACGCCACCACACCCAGCTTTTTTTCTGTGAGTACTGGTGGTCTGAGTTCCGGTCTTAAGCTGATACATCATATCTCAGCCATGTCCTAGCCTGTTGTGCAGCATGAGGCAAGTGTCAGGGACAGTTGAGGAGGGAAATGGTCAGGGCCTCTCCCAAGCCTGGTTCCTTTGCTTGTCTTCCTGGAAACAGTTTGTTGAAAAGATGCACCTCTTATCTACAAACCTCAGGGATGAAATACGTCCTGCATGTCTGTCTGTATGTCCTGTCTGCAGACAAGCAGATTTGCAGCCAGAGGCTCTAGGTGGCGGTCAGAAGGGGTTTAGGGAAGATGCCTATTGGTAAGTTTGTGCTTGGGACTGGATCAAGGCATCCTCAGGGTCAACAGGACACTGAGAGAGAAGCAATGGCATTGACAAGGTGCATTAGTCTGGGCAATGGCAGAGTTTCAGAGTCCCCTTCACAAGGGGCTCTATGTCACAGGACTTTGAGGTTTTATAATGTGACAGTAAAGTAACAATGATTCCTTTTGGAAGAAATTCATGATCACTGATGGCATCAGATTGATGCCCTGCTACTTTTGACTTCAGTTCCTGGCTTAACTGTGTTGTACTTTCAATGCTGTGCTCATCTTACCGATGGCTGGTGCCTCGTTGATCCATGAGTGGGGGAAGGTGTCTCTGATGCTGACTTGCAATGGTGTAGCTTTTCCTGGTGAACTTATTTCTATGTGTTTCAAAGAGTGTAATGATAGAGTAAAGAAAGGATTTCATTCAAGTCTTTGTTGGTCAGTCATTGAGCTTACTTGTAGGAGCCCAAACAACTCATGTCAGCTATTCAATAGGGAATGCTCTAAAAACAGAATGCTAATTAATGAATAAAGCAGATGCAGCTCCCTTAGAGTTTACACCAGATGAAGAGGAAATGACAAATAATAAACATGTAGGGTGACCTCTCTTTGCTTATTGTATGCTACTTACTGTAAACATAAGGCGATAGAGAATTGTGTGGGTTATGGGGTGAGCTATCTAAATGGAGGTAGACAGCCCCAGGAAATGTTTATTATAGTCACAGAAAGCATAGTATGTTAAACCTGGGAGTGGCAAAGAAATGGAAACGAGCAGCAATTTTTTGTGTGTGTGCGATGGTGACAAGTTTTTGTTGAAAACACAAGTATCTACTTCAAATGAGTGAGGAACTTCTGAGTAATGGAGCTTGGGGATATAGTTTAGATGGTAGAGTGCTTGCTCAGCATGTATAAAATGCCCCAACACTACGTAAAGTGAGTGTGGTAGCGAGTGAGTGTGTTAGTGAGTGTGTTAGTGAGTGTGGCACTGAGCATGGTGAGTGTGGTAGCGAGTGAGTGTGATAGTGAGTGTGGTAGTGAGTGAGTGTGATTACGAGTGTCATAGTGAGTGTGGTAGTGAGTGTGGTAGTGAGTGAGTGTGGTAGTGAGTGAGTGTGATTACGAGTGTCATAGTGAGTGTGGTAGTGAGTGTGGTAGTGAGTGAGTGTGATAACGAGTGTGGTAGTGAGTGTGATAGTGAGTGTCATAGTGAGTGTGGTAGTGAGTGTGTTAGTGAGTGTGTTAGTGAGTGAGTGTGATAACGAGTGTCATAGTGAGTGTGGTAGTGAGTGTGTTAGTGAGTGTGGTAGTGAGTGTGGTAGTGAGTGTGGTAGTGAGTGTGATAGTGAGTGTGGTAGCATGTGCTTACTCCCAGGACTCCCACCCCTTACTCAGAGGCTCAGCTAGAGGAGCCTGGGCTGAACCGCAGTCCTCTATGCCTGCGTTATTATTTTATGCTGGGCGCTGTTAACCAGAGGTGCACGGAACAAGGCTAGATCTCAGGATCTTGATGACAGTGCTCAAGCGACATCCAGGCTGGTAGAAAATCGAGGTTGTCAGAGGTTTGCACGCAGTTGTCAGCTTTGTATAAAAGGGAAGACGGGTAGAGGGGAAGGAGAAATGTTTGTCGGACCCTTGCTGCATTCTGCGTTCGATTATGTTCTCTGAGCCCATGAGTCATTTGAATCACATTGCCAACAGTGAGGTGATTGCCTTCGAGCCCATTCTACCTGGGAGACCCTGAAATTCATACCACGTTCATTGCCAGTGGCTTCAGCCAGCAAAAGCAGTCTGTCTCGGTAGAAGCCTTGTGAGGAAAGTCAAAGCCAACTGCTTTGGCCAATAGTTTGCAGATAGGCTTGGTAGTGGGGCTCCGGACTGGCTACATTCCTTCACCTTCTGCGCCAATGAGGTAGGTATTCCTCTTTCTTTCTCTAGAATGAGTTTTCTTACATTGGCAGCACGCACACAGACTGGTGTGCCGCAGCTGGCACATATGACAGGCCATGAAGCCAGTGTTTCAGAGAGAGGAGTTCTTCACTAAAAGCGTCATGCATTGGCTCTCCCCTGAGCGGGCCAATCTCAGCACTCACTGTTTGGTTTCTCTGCTGTAGTTTGGGGCATGGATGGGCGCCTGTCTGGTGGGAGGGATTTACAGTAATACTCGTGTCCCCCTGGGCAGTGTGTGTGTCTGTGTGTGGGGCAGAGAAAGACGATAGCGGCGGTGATGACGACGATAATGACGTTGATGATGCAATGATGACGTTGATGATAATGTACACATACCTTGGCACAGAAACAGCCTGGTCTATACAGAAATCAAACTCCGTGTGCCTCTAGTCTGCACTAGTGACCCTTACACAGATGTCAGTCGCCTCACGTGGCTGTACGTGTGGTGGACAAGGGAGAGCCCAGACTTCCGCACTTTGGCTCTTCCTTTCCTGAGGTTCTGAGACCTGGTGTGAACCAGCTCCTTGTAGAATCTTAAGCCAGAAGTGAACATCCAGGCGTGGAGGAAGATTCATGTTCCTTTTGCTGGCCACTTGAAAGGATAAATTTTATGACCCAGGAAGACTGTTGAGATGGCTTATTGCCTTTTGGTGAACTGAACAGACAGAAGGAAAGAAAGAAATAACCTACATGTCATAGCAAGTCGGCAGGCCCAGGGAATAGAGCCTCACTTAGAAGACGGAACAGAAAGGTTGATTTTAACGTGACTAAATTGCTTACAGACACGACACAGCCTTTACTTGGCATTTAATCAGAGTTCATGATCTTTCTCTTTCTCCTCATAAATTCTCAGACAGCATGTGTCTACTGACTGTCAGTCAGTCTTTGGGACTTCAGACAGTGAAGTTCCCTACCTGCCATATTCTCAGCTGCTTGCTCCCCTCCTCCTGAGAAGAACTGGCTACCGAGGAGGAAGCCAACTGTATATAAACGATACAGTGAAGGGAACTTGACTTGCGTAATCAGGTAGTTCAAGGACAACTGCGTTTAGGATTTAAGGTGGCTCCGTATTATATCTCTTCAGTTCAGCAGTCTTAAATCTCTTCTTCCGTTCCCCCTTGATGCAGACTGGACTGACTGGAGTGATGGACACACCCTGAACCACAACCAACCATTTTGGCTAGGTGAAACTGAAATCTCATTGGCCAAGCCTGGACTCCCTGCCCATTCCCCAGAATCTGAGAACTGCAGCCCTCTAAATGTTAGAGACACGGGAGGGAGGAAGGAGTGTGGTTATTAAAAGACAGCGCCAGTTATAGAAAGATCAAATCAGGAAGCATTAAATAACCAATATTTTGTAATTCTGTTATTTCACATTAATAACTAAAAAGACGTGTAAGTCTGTGATCTGTGTGCTTGCTGACAGAAAAAGGCAAGGAAGCTATTTTTGTCACAGTACTGAGGACTAACTACATATTTACAGTTGAGAAAGAGGACATAGGAGGCCTATATGACAAGCCCTACCCCCCAAAGTCACAGCCTACACAGAAATCCATGGAAGAGAAATATCAAAAGTTATGATAAGGATGCTGAAGTGTAGCTCTCCACAGCTGATGACTTCTAGTGGGGGTTCAGGTGAGGAAAGCTCTTTATGGGGCTGACCACTGGGAATTTGACCATGCTCCAGTGAGTATGTGGGCAACACAAATTGGACTTGGTTTTTTTTCTATTTTTTCTTTTTTTCATTTTTTGGGGGTGGTATCACAAGGAGGAATATGGGAAGACCTGGGAGAAATGGGAAGTGAGTGTGCTCAGGGCTGACGATGTAAAATTCCACATAATCAAGAAAATATTATGAAAAACCCCTCATAAACAAAATGTCTGTATCTGCAAATATCCCTCCCCAGTACGTCCATAAGTTCCATAAGGGTAAGTGTGTGTCTGTTCTGTTTACTGATAGATTGCTACTGCCTGCCATACGATGTGGCACATTTTAAAGATTTAGGAAGTGTTAGCTGAATAAATGGATTGAATAGGTAGATGGATGGATGGATGGATGGATGGATGCATGGATGCATGGATGCATGGATGGATGGATGGATGGATGGATGGATGGATGGATGGATGGATGCATGG